CTGTAAGTCCCTGCGTATGCAGGTTCAGAAGGTTTTTTCCTGCTGTGGATTGGAGACCAAGCAAACACGCTTCCCTCTGGCTGATTCATTTCACTCGTTCAGCTCTCTCCTCCTACACAAGCCCCTGTTGCTACTTTGGGGCTCTTTGCACCGTTCTTAGTCTAGCGCTTTTGGAAAACGTGCTAATTAAATGCCGTTGCCTGGGACTGTGTTTGCCTGGGCTGTGGAGAGCACCCTGGCATGAGGAGTTCTGGCATTACGGTCCTTATGGCCCCTTCTCTGCTCCAAGCAGAGGCAGGAGCTCCTGAGCACAGGAGGAATGGCAGACCAGTTTGTCCCAGGCCGGAGAAAAAAGGCTGTTCTCTGCTCCTAAAGAGTTTTGTGGGGTTATTTTTGTTTCCTCAGCTTGCTGGTGACAAGTGGACCACCAGACAGCTCCCTCCAGGTCTGGCAGGTGTCAGCAGAGGACTCTGGTAAGGGAAGATGTTTCTGAGCTTGAGTAGTTTCTCAATGTGGTCCTTGCCTCAAGCATCTCTAGTTTCCCCTTCTTCCTGGGCGTAAAATGAGGAGAGGAGTGCCGGTCCCATTCAGTGAAATCCTGAGTGACTGCCCTTGTGTGGCAGGGGCTGGAGAAGGGCACGAGACAAGTGTCTACCCCAGTTCTGGTGGCTTGGAAAGAAACGGACTTGATGGCACAAACCTCGTAAGGGAATTAGTAGGTTTAGGCCTGTCACAGTAGCTTTCCACTTATTTGTGAGCTCTTAGGCATACAAACAAAAACCCCAATCATACAGCTGCCACAATGTTCCCTTAATACTCCAAAGGTTAGAAATAAAGAGCTCCATACGTCACCTTTCAGGATATACCGTGAACCACCTCAGTTCTCCAAGCCTATGTCTGCCTGCTTCTAGAAAAGGATTGCCGTTGCTTTGTCTACTCTTGTGAAATACTTTGAAACCACCAGAACGGAAGTGCAAAATGTTATTAGAAGTTTTCTGATTCTTCTTCATCGAAAATAAACATCTTGATTCACAACTTCCCATCCATTTTGCTAGATTTTGAATGGCTTGTTGTCAATCCTTGATGGATGTGTTGGAAAGAGAATTATTCTGGAGGTTAGTCGTAATTGGTTTAGTAGGTGACTTTTAGCTTTGCAAGGCATCTTTGTGAAACAGCTTAATCTTGTGGATTACTTGACTCCTGATGCGTTTTACAACTGCTTACATCTCTTTCAAATAGATGTTATTAAATCTGTAAGTGCCATACCTACAGAAAATGGCACTGGGCAACCTTGGGCTAAAATTGCAACCATTTCGGCCAGAGCCCTTGGTTTAGTAGGTGACTTTTAGCTTTGCAAGGCATCTTTGTGAAACAGCTTAATCTTGTGGATTACTTGACTCCTGATGCGTTTTACAACTGCTTACATCTCTTTCAAATAGATGTTATTAAATCTGTAAGTGCCATACCTACAGAAAATGGCACTGGGCAACCTTGGGCTAAAATTGCAACCATTTCGGCCAGAGCCCCATGGGTCCTTCACGGCTCAAGACTCAACAGCGTCCAAATTACAGAGGTTGAATCGAGGAAAAACGTCTACATGGCAGGTATTCAAACCAAGTCTAATGTCTGATTTTGGAAGGCTGGAGTTTGGTTAAAGCAAAGGTAACTGCTCAAGTGGCGAACATTTCCCTGGGTGGGTACTTTCAGACCTGTGCCAAAGGGTACAAAGATATTTGTGGAAAGTATTGAGGAAAGAGGTTACAATCCTCTAGTCCACCTCCAGCTTCTCACTACTCCCATGATTTCTCAGGCTTCTGCCCCAGATCTGTGCCCTACGAGAGCTCCGTAGATGGTTTCAGTGCAAAGAACTGGGCTAGCAGAGGGCTGCTCTAGATGTCGTCCCAAACGAGGGAGATGCTGGCCTCCGAGTCACATCGCTTGGGGTCGTTGAAATCGGCATCAACTTCTGAGCGAGCTCTGTGTTACCCTGTGATCTGTCCATGAGGGTGAGAGGAGGGATCATGCCAGCCTCATTAAACCAGCCCTGCCTTACCTTGAGGTGGTGAATCCAGGTCTGGTTTGTTGGGGGTCCTGGAGGGGTCTTGGAGACCATCTGCCTTCGCCTACAGGGTAAGACTCAGTCCCCACATACCCTGGTGAGGAAAATTTGTGTGTGTCCAGCGGCTGTAACCCAGCGTGCTGAGCAAAAGGAGGGAAGCGCGAGTCCGTCCCTGCAGGGCTCTGCTGTGTCCCTGTGCCACAGGGACTTGTGGCTCCCGCTGCTGAAGAGTGGGGCTGGAGGAATCTGCTGTCAGAGCCCTGGTGCATGTCAGGTCCCCCATGGGGACCTCGAACAGAGCTAGTGTTAGTCGCGGGCCTGCCTGTCTCCTCTGCCTGGGTCATAACATCACCTTTTGAGGGGTACAGACTGTGCCTGCTCCACATGGATCCTGTGCAGAGATAATTCCCAAGCAGGTTATCAGTCTCTGCTGCTGGCTCTCTTGAAGAACTAACTAGCATTGCTTGAAAGCCACTTTCCAGGGAAAAGGCTAGAAATCTGCTTTCTCAGGTAAGATTGCAGCAGAGAAATCATGCAAATGCTCCTCGTGGCATCTGAGATCTGCCTCTCTTTTCTAGCCTCCAGAAACAGCGAGGAGCTCAG